CCTGCGCCTTTGGACGCGGAACTATTACTTTGCTGTCGCCATCGCATCGCTATTATTTATATCCATGGTAACGTTGTGGTATGACTCATCGATGCATCATGCATGATCATTCTGCTTTTCTACTCTTCGATATGCATGCACGCACACTGATGTACACGTAAGTCAATGCACGCACGCGGGCACGTTTTGCTGATGACAGCGATTTGGCGATCGTTGGTGTTGTTGTTTTCTGGTTGATTTGAGAGTGTGGTTGAAACCAATAAGTAAATACAGTCTTCTAGTTGTCTCCACGAAAAGGCCAGGAAATCGCGCTACAACAGGGGTCTGAAGACCGCGTAGTTTTTAGTTGTGGTCGATAAGTTCACAGTCGGCTACTCGTGACCTGGCATGAGGGTCGCATGGATACAGCTAATTTGATTATCCGCCATTGACAACTTGAGTGGGTCTGGTTAACCCAAACTTACTGCTGTAAGAACTTCAACCGCACCTTGACCCCCGACGGTAGTGGAATTTCTGCTCGCGCTGTAAAGTGTAAAGTCCCTCTGGCCAACTCTTACTTGTGCTGTGACTTTTATTTCATTTCCTACAGGATGAAGTTGAACTGCTGTGCCAGTATTTTGTTGATGGTCCTGGAAAAGACAATGGAATTACATCAATGTACTTACATTTTGACATTACCAGGTAGGTGTCAGCACAGCCCGTGGTGTGTGTGTATTTGTCTGTCTGTTTGTCTGTCTGTCTATCTGTCTGTCTGTCTGTCTGTCTGTCTGTCTGTCTGTCTGTCTGTCTGTCTGTGTCTGCCTGTGTCTGTCTGTGTCTGTCTGTGTCTGTCTGTGTCTGAGTGCATGTCTGTGCGTTTGTCTGTGTGTGTCTCTCTGTCTGTGTCTGTGTCCCATACAGCACAGTGGTATGTAGTTTCCAATCACGAGATCGCGGGGTTTAAGAATGAAATGACACTTTACAGTGAAGCGTTCCATGCTGCAAGTTCCTGTCGACATGTGGTAGTAGGGTGCACTCTCCCCTTTTCGGCGGAGGTGCTCAAATTTGATGGGAATAAAAGATTAACGGAGCGTTACAGATTTCTTAGACCAACACCTATTGACGCAGAGGCCAGAAGATTGCTAGTACACACAGTGACATTAGTGGCAAAGGTATGTGTCGTGGTGGGTGTGCAGGTATGGGTGTGCTGGCCCAGCAGTCTATTGGGATTGTGTTTCCACTTCTATTTTCTCCGTCTGATTCTTCTACCAGGTACCGCAAAATGACATCACTAAGGGTGTTACCATGTGCTTGGAGACTCGGTATGTTGTTTGACATCTGCTCAGCCTTGTTGCTATGCTCTATCTGTGCCAGTGCATTTCTTTGTGACTGCACAACGTCAGTATTATGAAGTGATAGAAGTTACAACAGTGCGGCTCAATGAAGTCTGATTGTGTGAGTCAAAGTTGTGCCCTGCACCATTTAGGCCGCGGTCACACATGAAAAGCTTGCACCGCTTTTGCGGAGGCGAAAAGCGTAACTACCGCAGCCGCTTTCGCGGAACACAGGATGCAGCGGTCACACATATATGTAGACTTCTGTGCTCCTCAACGCCCCGCTTTGGCGGAGGGAATGCAAATGCAGCACGTCCTATGAAATTTTAGATGTTCTTGTCCGAGTTGAAGCGACCTTCGCTTGTACAAGCAGAGCTATCGTGGATCGCTGACAGGCTGCTGAATGTCTCCTGTCAAGTACACTCGTGGATTTGGGGCACATTCACTGCGGCCCAGTACAGGTGTATTTGAATAATAGTTTAGTTTACATCAATATCAATTTTAAATAGTTGTATAGCAGGGTGTCGTTGGCTCCTCCAGAATCCATCATCGACCCTAACGACTGCGTGGATGCCTGCAGTTGCAGTGAGGGTGTGGCAGAGTACTCTACTCCTCCCTGGTTGCAGTCCTAGTGCTGCATACTCTGGTGGACGCCTTGCTTGGAGGGAGAAGGAGAGAGTTGGAGATCGTCCGCGATCGGGGCCAATGAGTTGGGAGACGGGTTCCCTCACCAACTATCCACTCATAACGATGCAGTATCGTTTGCGAGATCTCCAGAACGTACAGTTCATTGGCAAAGAAGAACGATATGAAAGCTGAATACCAAACGGCAACCAAACCACCAGAACTCAGTGCAGAAGTAGCACACCAAACTCCAAAGCCATCACCATGCAGGTTCCGCCAAAGCGGATCCGCGGAAGCGGAGGCTCCGGTCGCATTTTTTGGCGTAGCGAAATCCAAACTTTCCGCCAAAGCGTAACTTACGCCTCCGCCGTTGCCGAGGCAACGGTGGAAGCGTAAGTTACGCTTTGGCGGAACCGCCAAAAAAAGTGCGTGTGTGACCGCGGCCTTAGCAGCCCAGTGTTTGCAGGTCTAGGGCTGTACAGCGCTCAGAGTGGCATTCGCTAGCTTGATCGGATTTCGTTGAGCAGCACTGTAGAACGAGAACATCCCTGTAGATGAAAAAGCGTGTACTCCGTCTCCCTCCATGAGTAGTTGTCCTATGTAATGCATACCAAGTTTTGGCAGTGCCTCTTTTCCCTGACCACTGAGTCTAAGCTCTCTCTCTCTCTCTCTCTCTCTCTCTCTCTCTCTCTCTGTCTCTCTCTCTCTCTGTCTCATATGAGTTCCTATCAGTTGCTGTGAACACCTTGAGTGGAGAGCGCTTGCTCGAGCGTTGAACCGGGTTCTTAATCCACCATACCCAGTTCGCAAGGCTGGGCGGGGTTGTGAGCAGGCTTTCATTTCATCTTTTCTTATTATTTCTGCTTTTCATCTCACTACAAAAATTCTGCGCTTTTTCTCCATCTGCGCATAAAATCTAGACTGACAACCTGCTTGTTAAATCATGCACCTGCTTTCAGGCGTAAAAACCCTGTTGTAGAGGTCTCAGTCCTCATTTGTTAGACTTACCTGTCTTTATAAATGTAACTTACTCTCTCTCTCTCTCTCTCTCTCTCTCTCTCTCTCTCTCTCTCTCTCTCTCTCATATTGTATTATAGTGTGTGTATTCTTGTATTGGTCTTGTGCTTTTGTACTTGTAGCATCTACATGAGAAATTGCTTGGCCTGACGTACAGAATATCGGCTGATGCCTTCTTCCAAGGTAATGACATGTATGCTGGCACTTGTTAACTGACTATCGTCATTGCTGCCCTGTGTATGTACGTGTATGATAACGCAGAGCCACGTTCATTGCATAGCCACGTTCATTGCATAGCCACGTTCATTGCATAGCCACGTTCAGTGCATAGCCACGTTCATTGCATAGCCACGTTCATTGCATAGCCACGTTCATTGCATAGCCACGTTCATTGCATAGCCACGTTCAGTGCATAGCCACGTTCATTGCATAGCCACGTTCATTGCATAGCCACGTTCATTGCATAGCCACGTTCATTGCATAGCCACGTTCATTGCATAGCCACGTTCAGTGCATAGCCACGTTCAGTGCATAGCCACGTTCATTGCATAGCCACGTTCATTGCATAGCCACGTTCATTGCATAGCCACGTTCAGTGCATAGCCACGTTCAGTGCATAGCCACGTTCATTGCATAGCCACGTTCATTGCATAGCCACGTTCAGTGCATAGCCACGTTCATTGCATAGCCACGTTCATTGCATAGCCACGTTCATTGCATAGCCACGTTCATTGCATAGCCACGTTCATTGCATAGCCACGTTCATTGCATAGCCACGTTCAGTGCATAGCCACGTTCATTGCATAGCCACGTTCAGTGCATAGCCACGTTCAGTGCATAGCCACGTTCATTGCATAGCCACGTTCATTGCATAGCCACGTTCATTGCATAGCCACGTTCATTGCATAGCCACGTTCATTGCATAGCCACGTTCATTGCATAGCCACGTTCATTGCATAGCCACGTTCATTGCAGAGCCACGTTCATTGCATAGCCACGTTCACCGCATAGCGACGTGCTCATACTCATAGTGCCAGAGCCATGCAGAGCCACTCAGAGCCATACAGCAACTGTTTTATCTGAGGTCAGATTTCCCTTTTCACCGCTCACTGCAGGACCATATGAACCTGCATTATACAGGATTGCAGAGTTTTGCCCTCCCTCCGACCAGATCGGTTTATTGGATTATTCTGCGGAAAGATTCCGATTCTTGCCACATAGTTAGTTTCCACGGCAAGTTGCAATGGGAGTACACAATTCTCTTCTTATACTGTCTGTTTGTACCTCGGTGTGTGTGTGTCTGTCTGTGTGTCTGTGTCCGTGTGTGTATCTATGTGTGTCTGTGAGCATGGTGTGTCTGTCTGTGTGTCTGTCTGTGTGTGTGTGTGTGTGTGTGTCTGTGTGTCTGTGTGCGTGTGCATGCGCATGTGTGTGTCTGTGTCTATTTGTGTGTCTGCACAGTAAACACCCTTGGCACTGAACGTCTGTACGCATCAATCTGTGACTGGTGTGATGTCAACGAGGACTCTATTGTCTTGGGTAAGCTGCTATGGACCTTACCTGACCATGTACTGAAATTTCACACTTTCCCCACTGCACTGAACAAGTCCACAATGACCTTGTAATCGATTTCACAGACACTGCTGTTACCATATGCTGTCATAGGATCTCATGTGTATTTGCTCCCACGCACATGGCATTGTGCTCTTGATGTCTGTCCACCTGGTCCACTGGGCAAGCTCCGCAGCTGTAGCTCATAATAAAGACATAATTAGGCCACCCAGAATTAATTCGTTGTTTCGGGTCACCCGACCGACCATCTTTTTTCACCCGACCGCAAGATGTTTTTTTATAGTGCATGCAAATGTACATGACTAGACTATATGTAGGACTCAGTATAGAGTCCATGCACTATATGATGTCCAGCACCCTATATAGAGTCCATTGGTCCAAAATCCACTATACAGAGTCCAGGAGTCCACTCAGTTTTGATCAGCTTCATCCTGCCGCGCAATCCCCTATAAGGAGTACACTTTTTCTACAAGTCCCCTATTCACGGTCCAGGAGTCCAGTTTATCCTGTCAGTGTCACGCCGTCCTGTGTGTTGAGCCCGAAAGAGAACACATTTTTCAGTTTTGCTCGCCTCGTGGCAGCGCATTCCTTTCTTCACTTCAGCCATGGCTGCCAATTCTGCTGTGCAGTTGCTGACAGTAATCTGTCTCGAGCTAACCAAGGAGGATAAGGAGACGTTCAAAATCAAATCTGGAAAGCGTCTTGTGGTTCTCTGAAGACGTTTCATCAGTGCGCGGGATGAAAGCAGAAATTGCAGAACGAGAAAAGTTCAGCACAGTTCAAATCTGACGAGTCAGGTACACTGACGCTCTCTTTCGTTCGACGCCACAAGGATCCCCTGTTTGGCTGGCCATTGCTGCCAGTAAGACGTTTGAACGGTTTCATCAGAGCGAGGGATGAAAGCAGAAACGGCGGAGAAAGAGAAAAGTTCAGCACAGTTGCAATCTGACGAGTCAGATACACTGACACTCTCTTTCGTTCGACGCCACAAGGATACCCTGTTTGACTGGACAAGAGCTGCCTGTACCACCGTTTCAAAAGGCTGTCCAACTACATGGCAGGACGATGACTGAGGTAAGGAAGCTTTTACTCGTTTCGATTGGTCTGCTGTTCTGTCGTTATGCTTGAATTTTTTTTCCATTTTCAAGGAGCGTATCGCGTTTGTTTGATGTTGCTTGAATGAATGCCCTAAAAGTAATCAACCACTTCGTAATAGTCCTCAAGGACTGCAAGGACTTTGCATCAATCGTATAATGACCGTCTAGCTATCATCAATTATTATTTTATTTCATGAGAAATGTATTTTTATCCCTGTGATAATTATGTGAACTCCACGACACTCTTCCTGTAGTATGATGTCAAATACAATGGGATCCACAAACGCAGTGCCAGTGTACTAGTAGTAGCAGGACTAGGAGGATTGCTTGTATGCCAATGACAAGAAAGCTTCTCAAGCTAATACTCGTATTCCCTGAAGTAACCGTTTTGATGTCACGAACATGACATTGTGTCAGTGAAACTGCCTCGTGACAACAAATCATTGCATTTCCATCTTGGGGAAGACTGACTGACCGCAACGCTGTACAGATTGTTCAAATCATCTCATTTCAATTTAGTTGCAGTGAAGTGAAACACTGTGTACACTACATGCATGTTGGTGTGTCTGTGCGTCTTGACGGTGTGCACAAACGATCTTATTCCTCGTATTACTAATAGATTATTGTCCCCACCATCACCTGTTCACAGGTCTTTGAGTGGATTGATTTTCATTGAGCATCACATTCGTTGAGAACTTGGTAGTTGTGTGCTCCCATGCATCATTACGGTAATAAGCGTATCCTTGTGCTATCTATTTGTTGCAGGTGTGCTGATCTTCAGAAGCTTGCGGAACTGAGTGCTGCTGAACATTTGCATGGCCATGAGCAATGGTGAAGCTTGCTATTGCACTCTCAGCATGTGCTAGTATTTTTTTTTTTTTTTTTTTTTTTTATCACATTGCACATACCTACGGAAGAAGGGGGAGACAAAACGAAGACGAAACAAAAAAGACAACAATGGGTGTGTAGGCGCTACATGAGCTGCGCTGGTGAGATGCAGTGGACTCCCCCGACCAGGGTCTCGGGATCGGCGTACACAGCAAGCACCATGGGAGAGGGGGGCGAGAGGAATGGCGGAGAGAGAGAGAGAGAGAGAGAGAGAGAGAGAGAGAGAGAGAGAGAGAGAGAGAGAGAGAGAGAGAGAAAGAGAGAGAGAGAGAGAGAGAGAGAGAGAGAGAGAGAGAGAGAGAGAGAGAGAGAGAGAGAGAGAAAGAGGGAGAGAGAGAGAGAGAGAGAGAGAGAGAGAGAGAGAGAGAGCGAGAGAGAGAGATCGAGAGAGAGAGATCGAGAGAGAGAGAGAGAGAGAGAGAGAGGAGAGAGAGAGAGAGAGAGAGAGAGAGAGAGAGAGAGGGAGAGAGAGGGAGAGAGAGGGAGAGAGAGGGAGAGAGTGGAGAGAGAGAGAGAGAGAGAGAGAGAGAGAGAGAGAGAGAGAGAGAAGAGAGAGAGAGAGAGAGAGAGAGAGAGACAGAGAGAGGGAGGGAGACAGAGAGAGGGAGAGAGAGAGACAGAGAGAGAGAGAGAGAGAGAGAGAGAGAGAGAGAGAGAGAGAGAGAGAGAGAGAGAGAGAGAGAGAGAGAGAGAGAGAGAGAGAGAGAGAGAGAGAGAGAGAGAGAGAGAGAGACAGAGAGACAGAGAAAGAGAGACAGAGAAAGAGAGACAGAGAAAAGAGAGAGAGAGAGAGAGACAGAGAGACAGAGAGAGAGAGAGAGAGAGAGAGAGAGAGAGAGAGAGAGAGAGAGCGAGAGCGAGAGAGAGAGGGAGAGAGTGCACAAGAAAGAAGAGAGAGAGAGAGAGAGAAAGAGAGAGATGGGTAAGTGAGGGAAAGAGAGTGAAAGAGGTGGAGAGATATAAGTATAGAGAGAGAAAGAGTTCAGCGGCATATCGTCGCTATGACTATAATGCTACTTTGAGAAGAGGGTCAACATAATGATTTGCGTCCACTGATGGCAGGCCAGTGTGATAGATGTGCATGGCTAGCACCAGTCATGAGCAGAGCACCAGTCACTCTGTTGCAGGTGACGGTATGCAGCAGTCTTGAATCTCTGCAGGTGTTTCCGGGCTGGCTGCTTGTCCAGAATTGCCTGTGGCAGTCTATTCCACACTGGCACGATGCAGTATGGGAAAGAGCGCAGAAGGTAATCAGGAGCTCGTGGCGAGAGATTCAGCTCAAGCTGGTGGGGATGGTGCTGTGCTTGGGCTGCTCGAGTGCGGCGATGACGTGGCGGTATAGCCGGTGGGGGACACATGGCTGCAACTTGAGGCAGACCATGGCCATACATCAGCTTGTACAGTAGGCAGAGAGCAGAGACCTTTCGCCGAACAAGGAGGCTGGGAAGAATCGTACCAGGGCCAATGACATTTAGGGCGCGGAGCTGGACAGCATCCAGCATGGCCAGGTGTGAGGGGGCTGATCCCATCCACGCAAGGGGGGCATATTCCAGCATTGGCCGGACGAATCCTTTGTAAACAGTCACCCTGCCCGCGTGGCTGAGGAGGGGTGCTGCCTTCCGCAGGAGGCCCAGCCGCTGCTTAGCACGCGATGCCACTTGCCGAAGGTGGAGTCTGTAGCTCAGTTTAGTATCAAACGTCACTCCGAGCACCTTCACAGATTCATCAGGCGGGAGAGGAGTTCCGCCAAATGACAGCTGGGGAGGCACTGTATCCTTCCGCTGGTGCGACAGAGTGATAGTTTGCGATTTTGATGGCTCAAACGCAATCTTCCATCTCTTCCCCCAGGCATGGAGCTCATCTAGGCTGCGTTGTAGTGAGGCATTCGAGGCTTGGTCAAGGAGGGAGTACAAAGTTGTATCATCAGCAAAAGTGTTCAGGTTTGTGCCATGCGACAAGCAGCTTGAGATGTCGTTTACGTACACGAGGAACAATGTAGGTCCAAGGATACTACCTTGTGGGACGCCAGACTGGACAGGGTGCACCGATGAGCTCTGGCCATGAACAACAGCTTTAATGGTGCGACATTGCAGGTAGTGGGTAAGCCATGCGAGCAGTGAACCCCCTATCCCCAGCTGGCGGGTCTTGTAAAGTACGCCAGCATGAGACACTTTGTCAAAAGCCCCCGCTATGTCCACGGCAACTGCTTGCATAGCTCCACCTTCTGCCATGGCATTGGCCCACTCATACTGTAGGACAGTCAGGAGGTCTGCAGCTCCGGTGCCACGACGAAAACCGTATTGACGAGTATTCAGCAGACGGTGGCGTTCCAAGAAGTTGACAAGCTGGGAGTTGGCTATACTCTCCATTACTTTCGACAGGATGCTGAGGAGAGACACAGGTCGATAATTCGAAACAATTGACTTGGAGGACTTCTTGTGTATGGGGGACACATGGGCTAGTTTCCAGGAAGCTGGCTGGACCCCTGCTCTGAAGCAGCAAGAGAACAAGCGAGCAGCAGGCTCTGCCAGCTCCCTGTGGCATTCCTTGAGGACTCTAGCTGATATGCCATCGGGGCCAGTGGCCTTGTGCGGATTTAACGCCGCTAGTTGACGACGGACATTGGCTGGACGAAAGTGGATGGCTGTGATCTGAGGTGCCGTGGCATCAAGTTGCATAGCAGGGAGCTGATCAGAGGCAGAGAAATCGTTGGAGCCGAGGCTGCACTTCATGGCAAAGTATTGGGCAAAGCACTCGGCTTTCTCCCTAGCAGTGGTGTGCTCGTGTCCAGATCTGTCGACCAGGACAGGTATATCGCTTTGGCGGCTAACACCAGCAGCTCGCTTAATAGCTGTCCACCATTGCTTGTCTTGCAAGGAGCCAGATGACAGCTTTCTAGAAGCTCGCTCTTTGCATTGCTGTTGGGCATGTTGCAGAACATGCACACAATGTGTAACGGATGCCAGGAAGGTTTCTTTCTGTTGCAAGCTATCGGGGTCTTGCCTCCAAACTCTCCAGGCTTGTTGCTTTAGGTGCACCGCTTGTTGGCAGGCAGGTGTCCACCAGACCGGGTCAGTGGCCATTACTTTAATGGTCTTGGAGGGAATAAACTGAGACATGGCATCACGCACAATTCCTGTGAGGGCTTCACAAGCAGCGTCAGGGTCATTTGATAGGACAGTTGGCCAGTTAATGCGGCTAAGATGTGCGCGCATCCTTCCCCAGTCTGCTCTAGCATACTGCCAGACGATTCTTAGGGCCGGTTGCTCCTTGCGGGGACGTACGGTCTTGAACTCCGTTAAGATAGTGACATGGTCTGAGCGTCCAAGCGGCGGACCAGTGGTGACAGATGCTGCACCTGGGAGGTCAGATATAACTAAGTCCAGTGTGTTGTTCTTGCGGGTTGGTTCGGAGACATGTTGGGTGAGGTAGTGCGAGGCGCACAAGTCCTCTAAGGCTTCCCCGGCAACAGTGGTCTTGGTGCTGCCCAGCCAAGCGGTGTTGTGGACATTGAAGTCACCCGTGATCAGAACATAGTCACCGAGGTGCCGGACAGCGAGCAAGGTCTCCTCAAGATACTCAATAAGACTGATATCTGACTCACTGGAGCTCCCAGACCGGTAGAGGGCGCAGAATACAATTTTATGATGATCACACGTTTCAATAAGAAGCCAGATGACTTCAAAGTCATGACATGGCACGGTGTCAAGGTGACGAAAGCACAGACCTGCTTTTAGCCATACAGCAACACCGCCTCCATGTGCAGTGCGGTCCTTGCGTACTGCGGGGCAGTATCCGGGTATTAGTGTTTCAGCTGGAGACATTTTCTCGGCAGTGAGTTTTGTCTCAGTTACTATGGCAATGTCTACAGTCTGCTGACGGAGGGCATGTTGTAGCTCACCGAACTTGGACTGGAGACCGAATGCATTGGTCAGAAAGATCGATAGACTTGACATATTTGTTTGTGGCTTAGTTGCTTCCTGGAAGAGGGTGTAGCGGTGGCGGAGGGGGAATCTGAGACGGGGCATCCATGTCTATCACTGGCTCCTGGTCGGACGCGCTCATGTGTTGATCGTCTGGAGATTGCTTGTCGGACAGGTGCTGGTACTTCTCAAAATTCCACTGGCGTGAGTATACAGGTCGCGGCCAGAATCCCTTGGAGTTGACCAGCGCAGCCGTTTTCGAGTTGAGTACGAGTCGTGCGGAGGATCTGGCTTCCTTCCGGAAGATCTTGCACTCGTGGATTTTGACTTGAGTTTCGGCTGAGCTTGCTCGGGTGGTGACGAACTGACTGAGTTTCTCCGTAGTCGTGTCACTCGGTAAGTTCCCCACAAACAGTACTTTCCGCTTTCCCGTGGGCTTTGTGCTGCAAACTAGCTCCCAAAGTCCACTGTCCTCGTTGTCGTCTTCAAAGCTGGGCAGCAGGTTTGAATTTGCCGATCTTTCATCACGATGCACCTCTGGTACACGTGCTCGAGCAAGGGGCTTTGGACTGTCGGACTGTGGGGTCGGTTCGTGAACCGAGCTCACAGAAAGTTGGTCTGTACGTGTACAGGGGGTCACGGATGCGCGGTCATCCCGTACATGAGCTTTTGAACTCTCCTTGGTCGTTTTCTTGCCGTTGTTGGCCTTTGCCGTAATGGCGGACTCCTTCAATGATGTTACCTCTTGCCTTAGCTCAATGACAAGGTTTGAGAGATCGTCTAGTCTCCGCCGGAGGCGGGCTTCATTGTCCCTTGACTCACTAACGAACGCAGCCAGATTTTCTACCATACTGAGCACATTGTGGTGGATCCCGGGAGTATTATGCTGACCACTGCACTATGTTACTCTCTTACACTACTACGTGTATGTAAACGTGCGTGTACCCGTCCCCGTACGCATTCGTTTCGTATAATAATTTGTTATCCCTCTTGACTTTACATGTAAATGGGTGGACGTTTGCATGGCTGTTGGAGTTGCGTGTGTATTGTGTCTCTACTCTTTTCTTGGTGTTTTCTTGGCGTTGTATAAGTTTGTGTGTGTGTGTGTGTGTGTGTGTGTGTGTGTGTGTGTGTGTGTGTGTGCGTGCGCGCGCGCACAATAATTTGAAAACAAATAATTAATCCTGGGCTCTCCATTATTCTCTTTTGATTCTTGGTTTTTTTCTAGGTATTTTCTTGGCGTTGTGTGGGTGTGTGCATGTGTGTGTGTGCGTGCACAATAATTTGGCAACACTACATGATTGAGATATTGTAATTTGCAGCGTCTGCGAAGAGACCACTTGATTTGAGGATGGTGTTTGTAGGGTTTTTCATGTAATGAAGTGGCTGCAGTGGCGCCTCAATACATATTTTTTTCATCTTGAGAAGTGAATGATGTAAAGGATTAAAGGGAGAGGCCGTTTTCTGGTTAATATTCACTGCTTACAGCAGATCCTATGTCTATTTTCGAACTCGATAGGGGATGCCTAATTGGCTGGACTTTATACAGGGGGTGTTGTCCACATAAAGACTCTTTATAGTTGATTTCAAAGTTTGGACTCCGTACAGTTGATTTTGGACCAATGGACTCTATATAGGGGTGAAGCCAATTGGCTGGACTCTATACAGGGAGTGATGTCCATCGAAACTTTGAGCTCACAGTTGATTCCAAGTTTGGACTCTGTACAGTGGATTTTGGACCAATGGACTCTATATAGGGGTTGGACATCATATAGGGGCTGGACGCTCTACTGAGTCCAACATATATACGTACATGACTGTACACACGCACCTAATAATAGCTAGCAGTCCAGACATCGACCTCAGAAGCAGCCAAATAAAATAACAGGATGAAGCGCTTGGTGACGATGTTGTCTTCCGATCCGCAATCGGTCCTGAAACAGCATCAGCTCTGCCACCGCGTCGCTCTTTGACAGACGTTTTCAAGGTTAGAGCTGCTCCTCAGACTCGTTTGCCAGCGAGGCCAAGGTCTGGTCCTGGAGGGGACCTGGGTCTGATGGGACAATGACTGCGCTGGATCGTCTACAGTCATGATTTGATCGACTGGCTTGATGGACAAAAGCTATCCGATATGCACAATTGTACATGTATGCACATATACATGTACGTGGCAGTAACCAAAATAAAAAATATAAAAAAATTAAAAAATAAACCCGACCGACCCTGGTACGGATGAGTGAAGTGACCCGAAACAACGAATTAATTCTAGGTGGCCTTAGGGGCCATCCGTAAATATAGATATTTATTTAGAAACGAAAACTAGTCGTTTAGGGGGGAGGGGGTTTAGCGCCTGTTCGTTTCTCAAAAAATATCGATGTACATTTGGCATGCGTGAGCATGTCCAGAAAAAAGACCAAAAATATCGATACTATGTACCATGTGTATGTGTTCGTTTCTCAGGGAGGGAGAGGGGGGTTGAAGAGAAACGACTAGTTTTCGTTTCTAAATAAATATCGGTATTACGGAAGGCCCCCTATAATAATATTATATCCCGCAGAAGTCTCCCCTATCCTGGATATGTTCAAGTCTACCATCCTGGCTATGTGTATGGGCTTTTTCTAGATCTCTGCGGTCTGCAGGGCTTTTCGACATGGGGGGGGGGGGGGGGGGGGTAGTGTGTTTGTTGTCTGTGTTCACTCTGACGTGTGGATGCATCTATTGCCATCTTGAGCTGTGCGTGCGGACCCGGTGCACCTCGTGTGCGTGCGTGTGTGCATGCGTGTGCGTGCGTGTGTGTGTGTGTGTGTGTGTGTGTGTGTGTGTGTGTGTGTGTGTGCGCGCACGCGTGCGTATGTATTGGCTATCACAGACATATGCCGTGGTACTGGTACGATTGCCTTGGCACTGGCAAAGGTAAATACTTGCTCGGCATCACGACGACAATGGCATGTATTCGATATGGCCATCCTTGTTGCATAGACACTCATCTCCGGTCAATGTCGATGATGCACTACAGTCAGTTTCAAAAAGATTAGCAATCCTGGCGATCGCCCGGGGAGTTTGCCGTCTTACCGTATGCGTGCTCGAGAGCTGGCTGGAAAAACTCACTGTGAACTCGAAGAAATAATCCGCGCGAAAGCATGAAAAATGATAACTCACTCACGTCGGTACATGTACGTCTGGTTTACAACAAACGAGTTCTTCCTCGTATCGACATGGAGTCAGAGAGGACATGTCGAAAGTGTGGTAAGTGTTGACGAGCGGGCGCGGGATGGGTCCCAATTCGTTTCGTGCCCAATTTCTTTGAGCTGCGATGCAATTTACTCTCACGATGTGACGAAAACGACATCGACACAGACTCATTCCCAAGGCCATGACTTGGCAAAGCTATCCGTGTGACTTCGACGACATTTTGAGAAAAGCAGACACCTGTGAAAGCTGATAGAAGACGGCGTTGACTCCTAAATTCAAATAAATTGGCGATCTTGAAATACTGAAATACATGTAATTCTCAAAGAGAAATCGATCGATCGATGTGCCGTTGTATTCAACAACACGTAGCTGCAGCGCAATGACTTCCGTGTTCACTCACACCGTTTCAGTGTTATGGGTGTGTTCACATGGCGTGAAGCAGTCAAGTGTCAGTAAGTTCGGCAGGAAACGCGAGCTCCAACAACAACAAGTCGTTTGGCGCAGCCACCTTCTTTGGCTTGTACTTTTTGTACCAGCGTGATCACCAAAACTATGAAAAAAAAGTTTGACTTGAGGATAGTTTGGGATTTGAACTCACAACTTCATGGCCAGCAGACAGCATTCATAACCACAAGGCCAAAAAGGAAAGGATAAATCGTGGGTTTTGATAAAAAAATCGATACTGACATCCAGGGCAAATTGTTAACCATGGGAAAAGGCCGGAAACCTGGCCGAAATTCTAACTCCTTAACGGCTGGTCCAATTGTTCCGAAACCTTCACAGAACAATTTGCCGTGTCCTAACAAGCCATTCTATGTACTTTGTTGTCCAAATTTCCCTTATCTTCGTACTTTTTAAGACCAAAACCTGATTGCTAATCTTTTTGAAATGGACTATAACGTTGCATTGCTGTCCAACGTGTTGCATTGGATCTCCAGGAGTCTCTACTTCTTTTTGACATGCAGTGCACAATGTCAGACAATGTTGTGATGTTATCCGTATACATTTTCCGTATGAAATGGTTGCTTTAAAGAGAGCTTTGCCGTAGTTGGGATGCTTTGCAGATCTAAAAACAGTGTGAACTGAACACCATTTCCTTCTGCGGGTTTGTACGCACTGTGTATGCCCTTTGTACACCCTTGATCATTGCCTATTGCTTTTACTATTGTTTTTGTTGTGTGTGTGTGTGTGTGTGTGTGTGTGTGTGTGTGTGTGTGTGTGTGTGTGTGTGTGTGTGTGTGTGTGTGTGTGTGTGTGTGTGTGTGTGTGCGTGCGTGTGTGTATCTGCTTTTGAATACAGAGAGTGAAGAAAGTGATTGGCGTGGAGATGTGCGAACAAGCCGTGGCGGATGCCAAGCATAATGCAGGACTGAATGGTAGGTGTGGCTGCCGGACAGGCTACCTGGCTGCCTGGCTACCTGGCTGACTAGCTGGCTGACTAGCTGGCTGATTGGCTGATTACCTGGCTGACTACTGTAAATATACAAAATTTCGGCGCTGCAAAATTTCGGCATTTCACGATTTTTGACATTTCGGCGGCGATTTATTTTCGGCGTGGGGTAGAGGCCCTCAGGGCATGGTATAGTGCGACAGATGCTGTGAAAAATTTCATCGGCGTTTCAATTTAGGCGTTTTGGGTCGGTGCCGAATATAGCCGAAATTAAATAGCTGCCGAAAATTTGTATATTTACAGTAGCTGCCAGACAGGCTACCTGGCTGCCTGCCTGCCTGGCTGACTAGCTGGCTGATTGGCTGATTGGCTGATTGGCTGATTGATTGGCTACATGTACATGACTGTACAATTGTAGTCATCTGGAAGCTGTTACATAGAGACCGGCTGTGGCAATTGATTGGAAATACAGCCACAGCAAGAGTTAGACCTATGGAACAGTAGTCAAGAAATGTTAATACACCGTGCCAATCTTGGAAGTGTGCCGAAAGAGATCAAGCAACATTTTGTTTGTCTTGTAGTTTCATTGCATCGTGTATCGTTCGAATATTTTTTACATTGTGTGTCTATGTGTGTGTACGTGTGTGTATATGTGTGTGTGTGTATGCACATGTGCATGCATGTGTGTGTACTTGTGTCTGTCTGTTTGTCTGTGTGCATGCATGTGTGTGTGTATGTGTGTGCGTGTGTGCATGTGCGTGTGTGTGTGTGTGTGTGTGTGTGTGCATTTGTGTGCATTTGTGTGTACACGTGTGTGTATATGTGTGTGTGTGTGTACGTATGTGTACATGATGTTTATGTGCATGCTGGCAGGCATCACCAATGCTGAGTTTATCTGTGGCAAAGCAGACTTTGTCATGGACAGGCTGATGAAACGATACGGCCGCAACCCCAACCTGGTCGCCGTTGTTGATCCACCACAAGCTGGCTTGCGTAAGTGTTTCATTTGAAAGTGTCACATTTCAATTGCATTCTACTTTTTAACTTCATCTACGGAGACCCTTCGATTTAGGCTATAAAGGCCTGTGGAGAATCCGTAAATACAAATAAAATCTATAAGTGTGAACACGAGCAATATCGTAGATATTACTGCACTCTTGGTATGGTAGGAAGACTGCAGTATTGAAGTTCAACTGACGGAATGACAGTTTGCACTGCAAGCAAGTGCAGGACAAACAATCAAAAAGCTACTGTTGCACGCTAGTCACTACAGGCACGGGGCACTTGTTGACTCGTCGCAACTTGCACTCAATAGACAGCCTTAGCAAAAAACGTTATGTTGTAACGGTATTACCGTAAGGGGGAAAATACCGTGATTTGGGTTTGACCTTTAGCAAGATGCACACTATTTTTAGTATGCTGTTGCCACGAGAAAAGCTTTTGTTTCGCGCAGTACAACCATTTATGTCACCATATACGCGGTACAAGGTGAAATGCGTACGGACTAGGCAATATTTGGCCAAAACACGTACCGTTGGTCACAACGATAAATCAGCCCCCATAACGTTTTTACGCTGCAGCTTCAACGCTATTTGGATGATCAAGGTACGAGTATCGTAAAAAAAATAGCGTTACCGTTGTTTGCTAAGGGCGTCTTATACTACCGTAGAGTCGCGCGCTGAAGAACGTAGAGCCCAAGAGCGTCCAGCCTGAAATTCTAAGAACGCCACAGCCTAAAGCTAAGAACGGCGGTGTTGGTTTTCTGGCAGCTTGTGGGATACATAATAATGATCCAGTACAGATTGTTTCTAAGAACGTGCTATAAGAACGCAGCCAGATTGCTGAAAAATAAGAACGTCCCAGGCTAACCCCTTGGAAACAACGTCCTTGGGCGTGTGACTCTACTGTAGTGGTGTACAGTAACAGTATGGATAGTGTCAGTAGTCTGCACTTACGCACTTTCCAGGCATTCAATGATCGTGCGTAGACGCATACCACTAGCGATCTCTTATCGAGCACAATCGCTAACGATAACCCTAGCTGACGGACGAGTGCTCGAGTACTCAGTACGATTCTTTGACATACCGGGCAGATCCTAATTTGTATGTCTGCGTGTGTACATGTGTATGTGTGTGTGTGTGTGTACGTGCATGTGTGTGTGTGCATGTGTGTGTATACGTGTGCACGTATGTTTGTGTTCACATGCACACAACCGGACATATCTAGATCCGGGCGTGTGCCAGCTCATTCGCAAGACCTCTGCCCTGAAACGTCTTTTCTTCGTCGCCTGCAACCTCAAGCAATTTAAGGATGCGGTTTATGGGGTTATAGCCTAGGATGTACATGTATGGGCGAAGTGGTGGCCCGCCGATGCGAATGTATTTGCTTGATGTGTTTCTCAGCACGTCAGGTAATGCGGCCGGCCGCGAATCCGGCTAACTTTTTTATTATTTTTTACATACAATATAAGAGCGCTCAACTGCTACAAGAGCAGGAGCGAAATACTCAATCTGCGGACGGAACAGTGTTTCGTCTTTTGTGGACTCCTCAGCGCAGCACAGAGAAAATGAGGCCAAGCCTGATAGCATAACTTTTGCGAAACTAGGCCCGAACATACCTTGCCAGAGTGCTCAAACTGGCAAGTTTTTTTCGGATCTACATGTACCTCCTTTTTTGGATCTACCTCCAGTGGCATCACACTTACAACATGAGGCTGCCCCTTCAACTGCGAAGTAGATCTGCACACTATTTCCACCGTCTTATGGCATCTACTTTGAAGTACATGTACATGTACATGAGACCTCTCAGTCGCCGCGAGTAGCACTGTCGCCTGGAATAGAGGACAAGTACGGTTTCCGCAATCAGTGATTGCGATCGCGGTTCCCAACACTAGAAATCATACGCCGTGTCGAGACATATCTGTACATGTACTTGCGAAAAATGTCCTGCCGTCACTAGCAAAATTCATGGTGATGGCGAAATGCCTCATTCGGACTTCCCAGAACATTTCGAAGAGTTCAGCCATACTGTTTCTTGCCTCAGGATTGTCGGTTGTAGGATTAAACTGTTTTAATTTTTCCTTGCCGTGATAATTATAATAATTTTAGTCTCCCATGTCGAGGAAATTGCCACTCGAACTTGACATTAGAAGCAGCTTTCCGAATGTGCAGTTACATTGAGCCATGGTGTTTGTATTATATTTTTTGTAGTGTGACGATGACAGCAGAATTTGTTCTCTTTATTTCTATTCAAATAATCGACGTGGAGACAACAATTTTATAATCGCAATAAAGAGAACAAATTCTGCAGTCATCGCCACACTACAACGAAGTCATGAAAGTTTACCAGAATTAATTTTCTTGTCACATTCATCAGTGGAAAGTCGTGACTGAAGAGTAACCATGCTGAACAATGATTAAATATACATTCAATGATGTGTTACGAGAACAAAATACAGTGCCAAAATAGAATGAGGGAAGGTGAGACAATAGAAGTGAAGTGAGAGCTAAGTGCAACGGCGGGTGAGAAACTAATATTATAACGCTAAAACTGTGTAGTGAGACAAACAATCATGCTGTGCACCTACGAAAACAATTTTAACGCAACCACATGTTTCTTCTGCTTACAAAGATCAGGCTTATGCAAACGAATACAAACAGCCTCAAGTACTTTCAACTGACTAGCATACCGTGCACGACAAAGAACAGAAAAACTAAAATCATCATACACCTGCAGACACTTAGGGTGAGACAACAAGTGAAGAAAAACGATGCGGCTCCTAAACGGTGGGGGAGGATAGATCAGATCCACTAACCAGAGGCCAAAGGCCTCAATCCCATTTGCCACATCCATGCATGATGTATGTATGTATTATGCATGAGTAGTACCAAGAGTACATAACCCCCAGGGGGGTTATGTACTCTTGGTATTACTCATGCCAGGCCACGACTCACGAGTTCCCAATTAACTGTGGGTCGCAGCACGGTTGGAAAAATCCTTCCGCTTCCAAGCAGGACTTTAACCTGGTACCTCTCGTTTCTCAATCATGGTCTTAGACCAACCCACTGTGCCTGCCTGCAATAGTGGCATCAGCTACAGTCAAACCTGCCGTTAGCGACCTCTGCGGTAGGCGACCATCTACTGTCAGCGACCGATTTTTTTTACACCCCTGAGAAGCCATAACAAAACACTCACAACCTCCCCTGCACAAACTCGCATCCAGCGGACCAAGCACACACTCGCATCAAACAGACCAAGCCACGATTCCAACCAATGATCAGCTGAAAATGCAGATGTTTCATTCTATCAAAGAACATAAGTATGATTGTGTTTATCATTGCAAAATACTGGCGTGCTCACCCAAAGTTCAGATAAAAGGAAATGAACGACACTCCACTTCTATTCCACAAGCGCACTCTCTAAATGACTATCGTTTTCTAAGAAGCGTGCAACACATTCACTTTACCAGAAAAATGTCTAGTGGCAAATTGCGTGCATCCAGCGTATCAGTGAGTGAGAGAAGCCGAAACCATTCTCATGGCCATAGCAAGAAGATCATGATCATCCAGAAAAACAGGAAGGTGTTCAAGTGCTCAACCATAGAACAAACCTGAGCACTTTCTCCTGATATCATTATACGTTGACTGACAAATGGGAGTCATCGCCTGGTATTGAGTGTTGGAAATATGAATCGAGTCGCCACAATTGTACATTTTGAAAATTTCAAAATAATGGCACGTAGGTGCATGGTTCTGGACAAACCGGGCTAGGCTGACAAGGTTCTTGGCGAAAGCAGCCGCTAGCTCCTGCACCGCTACTTCCTTCTCGCCAATTAATCCTGGCTTGGCAACATCGGAAGCCTGTTCGGGTAGGTCCACATCCCAGGGAAGGGCGTCCGATCCTGTCAATAGACAACCAGCCACAACGGCACCAAAGAGAATGGTAGCGAGACTCTTCATCTTACTGACGGTTGTTGCAAATTCCC